AATCACTCCCTGGAAGGATCGCCATGCTGCAATCCTTTCTCCATTCTCCTTCTCATTCTGGGCACACATGCACATGTGCCCAGTGTGATTTTTAAGCTGCCAGGTCCAGGGGTCAGACCATGGTTGGCCATTTAGGAGTCCAGAACCTTAATCACTATGCCACCTGCTGGCCTCTTATTTAACTTCTTTAGCAATTATATATGTTACCTAAATTATACTATTAAAATATGGTGTGCCTTATATAAGCATTAATTATATATTTATTATGTTATCAAATCATATTTATAATCTATAAATATTAAATCATTTAATCTTTTAATAGCTCAGTGAGATCCAGTTACCACTGTTAATTCTGTTTTACAAATTAGAAAACTGAGATAACCTAGAGGTTAAGTAAACTTACACCAAGGATACAAAATTGATAAGTAGTTGAGTTAGGATTTCTACCTAGGAAGACTGTCTCCAGGGTACTAGTCACTGCTATTAAGATTCAGAAAGAAAAAAGGCCAAGAAATAATAATAAAATCCAAAGGCAACTATAGGTAAGTTGCTTTGCCATCTCTTATTTTTAACAGACTTCTATATAACTGACTCTAGTCTCTCTCTCTCCTTTTTTTAGAGGTTTTTGCCTTAGGTTGTGTGCACTCGCCAAAGAGAGAAAGAGACAGTGAGAGGGAAAGTGAGAAATCACCTCCCCAGGGGGATGGCCATGACACAATCCCTCCTTGTCCCAGGATCTTGGGCACACATGCACATGTGCCCAGCATGAGTTTCAAGCCACCGGGTCAGGACTTGAACTGCAGTCAGCCACATGGGAGTCCAGCAATGTAATTGCTACACCATCTTCTGGCCCCTGAGCCTCATTTCGATATTCAATTTTATGGCTTGCTTCTTTTATTAATCATGAGAGAAAAAAGCATCCCCTACATGGTCTTCATATATTGATCCACCTGAGCCTTAGCCAGCTCTCGTCTAAAATGTCCAGGGAGGCCTGAGGATGCAAAGCTAAGACCTGCCCCTGTGGGTCTACTTGCATTACTGCTGTCCCATTGTCTGGGTTCAGAAAAAGAGGCTTTCCTGACTGGGAAAGCCTTTTCTTTCCTTAACTGAATGATATAGATTTTCCATGTTATTAAAAAAAAAAAAAAAAAACCTCCTTGTTGGGAGTGGTGTGGTGGTTAAGGCACTGGACTCCTACATGGCCGACCATGGTTTGAGTCCTGGACTTGGCGACTTACTTTTTCTCCTTCCTTCTCTCTGTCCCTCTCTGGTGAATTACAATAGCAATAACAATAATAATAAATACAATTAAATAAGCAATTCTTTTAAAAAAAGAACTTGTAAATGTTGTTTTAGTGGCTATTTAATATTCTCATCATGCAAAAATACTAGTTTGTTTAAGCTTTCTCTATGATTAGTCACTTTTGCTCTTCAGCTTTCTATCAGGATTATTAGCACTGTGATGATCCAAAATTTCTTGTGTTTTTCAGAAAATACTTTTTTTTTTTTAACGTGGCACAATAAACACCTTTATTACAGAGTGAAGATAGGAAGGTTTATTTGCCTTTTCAGGCTTTGATTTTCCTCAGGTAGAGCTCCAGCTCCTTGCCCTCTAGCACGTAGCCACACTGGCCTGGTCTGGATGCAATGCGTGCAAGCAGCTTGCCCTGCAGGAACTGCTCCTCCAGGAGACTGCTGCTTTGGGCGTTATTTTTCCTTTCATCATATTTCTTCTGAATTTTTCTTGATCGCTTTTTAAAAATCTCTTCCTCCTCAGGAGTCAGCTTGGCCCCCTTCTTGTGGCCCAGGGGCAGTGCAGAGTGGGACTACAGCTGTCAGTCTGGATGTGCTGTCAGTGAGCACGATGCAGTTCTTCACCAGGGTTTTGGTGCGAACTGTGTTGCAGACAACATCGATGATCCTTGTTTTGCGTGTACAACACTCTGAGCCCCAAGAAAAGTTCCCCACGTCCAGCCTCAGGGCTCGGTATTTCTTGTTACCTCCCCCACTCAAACTGTGTGTATGCAGCGAGGGCCGATCTTAGCGTTGGCAGTGGGATGTCCCAGCTCATATTTCCGCTTCTTGTAGTAGGGCTTTCTATTGCCCCCGGTCTTGCGACGCTTGTGCCCGTTGTTGCGAGAGTAACCCATTGCTCTGCGCTGGCTGGAAAAAGCCAGAAAATACTTTTAGTATACATTTGCACAAGTAAAATTCCCAACTCAAAGAATACAAGTACTTTTAGGGTCTTATATTCAGGTTGTCAAATTGTTTTCCAAAAGACTTGTACTCTTCTGTAGTGTCTGTAACACTGTACAGAAGTGCCTTCTTTATCCTTCTCACTCTAGTGCAGAATGATTCTTAAAGACTTTTACTGAAGTGACGCAGTCTAGTCAAATTCAGCCCCATTCCTGCGGTGGTGGGAGCTGGCCAGATGGCTGCCACAGCAAGCTCCACAGCTCATGGGCCCTGGCTTTCATGCTCTGGGATCTGGGGATGAGATTAGCTGTGGACATGGTAAAAAAATAAATAAATAAAAATAAATAATTTGTTTAAAAATTAAAAAAAGAATTTTGCTAAAATGATAGGTAGAATTTGATCACTTATTGTCATGTTTTTTTTAAGTTTATTCATTTCTTTCTCCCTTGAGTGAGAAAGTCAGAAAAAGAGAAACAGAGACAGAGAGACATCACCGTCAACAGGATCCTCATGCCACGATCCACCCCCAGCTAGCCTCAGGCATGTGTGCACCTACTATATTCAGGAAGGTCTCTGGTCAAACCTTGGAACCTTCCCGTATGGGTCAGTCTTGCAGAATTCTGTTCCCACCACACCACTGTTTGCCCTCTTATTGTTTTGTTTTGTTTTGTTTTGTTTTGTTTTGATGGCTAGAGAGTTGATGGTTTGTTCATATTGGTTGATGAGTTTTATGAGTACTTAAGAGTTGTTTTTTTGGCCCTTTGCCCCTCTGTCTGCTGAAATCATGGAGAAGCCTTTGGAGATCAGAAAGAAAATAAACCATGGTTTTCCATTCTCTCTTTTCCTGTCTTAACATGGAATTTCCTTAGGTGCTTTCCTAGTCTGCACTGCTAATAACAAGCATTTACTGTTCCCCCCAATGTTATGTGAATTTTGTTGTTGATTATATATAAAATCTACTACTGTCTACTTACAAAAGATAATTATTTTGTTTTCTACAGTGAGTATATTTTGCATAAATATGCATTTGATCTATTTTGGATCAAAAACTGTCTTTATTAGCAGTTAAGCACCATACTTATAATATTCATAACAATTGTAGAATTGACATCCCAGCCAAGGGTGATCTGAGCAGTTACACAGGTTGCCTTGAGATACAAATAAGGAACAGGAGGGACTGAGAGCACAGTAGACTGTATCTTCCTCTACTAGAACTGCCTCTTCTTAGAAGGATTTACACCTGGTTAAAGAAATCTGAGCCACATATCAATAGCTAGAGGAGGTGCTATTTGGATTCTTGTTAGCTGCCTTTAAGTAAGCCAGTGTACAGTGTATAGATAGCACCTCCTCTAGCTATTGATAGTCGGCTCAGATTTCTTTAACCAGGTGTAAATCCTTCTAAGAAGAAGAGGCAGTACTAGTAGAGGAAGATACACGGGACTTGTGACCCAGAATCCTTGAATTAGTTCTGTGTTCTCTGTCATACAGTGTTTGTGGGAGGAACCCTGGGGCATTTTCTCTACTAATCCTTCCCCCACCAAAAAACAGAACAGTGATATCAATAATAACTGACATTTATAAAGCACTTTAAAGCATTATAGATGAGCTTCCTTATGCAATGACTCACTTAATCTTCACAATAGCTCTATGAAGTAGAAAATGACATGCACATTTTACAGTTGAAGAAACAGACACAATGAAACAGAAAATGGAGCGGCAACTCTCCCTTCAATAAAGTGTGGAATTCAGATTTCAATATTATATTTTTAAAAGCATATTATACTCCAAGAAAATAGTCCATTGACGAATTTATCATGAGGCTTTCACGAAAAGAAAGAAGAAAAAGACAAGCTATCATGGAAGGTTTGGCATATCATAGAAAAGGACCCCAAGGAAAACATCGATGAGAAACCATTGAAGGAGTGGTTTTAATGAGTATCAAGGCACAGCCACAGTAGCATGTGCTACTGAGATCCTACTGCTGTACAGGCTGAGGTCACATAAGAGGCCTGGTTCAATTCTTGGCTTCCCCTAAAAACCAGACAAGTAGTATGCAACTAGTCTCAGCTGCTCAGAATCTGAAGCTGGAGGATTACAACAGGAAAAAGAAAGAAAAGAGAATTTATCTTTAAAAAATTTTAAAAAGGTTATCAAAAGATTGATGATTATTTTCAAATATTAATAAATGTTCCTTCATATTTCCTTATTATATTATTTATGCATTTCCAGTTTTCCCACGTACTGAGAAGATCAAGGATAAAATTAGTTATAGTACATCTAGTTATGGGATGCTATGTACCTATTCAAAATAATGAGAAAGAAACCTGTGTATTAATTGATCAGATGGATGAGTAGATAGACATATCCTGCACTTCTAAAGTGGGGGTTAATAAGAGGACCCAGCAGGGTTTTAGCAAATGTGCAAAACAGAATAAAATACAGGTTAGAAGACGTTAGGAAAAATGCCATCTCAGACCTAGTGGGGGGAGCTAGATCAGGAACATCTGGCCTTCAGTTTCCACAATTTTTTGGATAGTCTTTCCAGCTAGGGAAGGTAGGAAGTCTTCTGCTTCATGAACTAGAGCATAAAATAAAAATGTTGTAAGTCAAGTCTTGAAATCCAGGTCAGGTAGAAGAGCTTTCACATAGGACATTCCAACAGCTTGCTTGGAAGATTTTACAGATGGCTTAAGAGTTAGAAGCTTTCCCTCATATGAATTCAGGCAGAATGAGGTTCTAGCTCTGTTGGAATACTCTTTAGAACTTGTGCACTGAAATAGCTCAATGCCGTGCTTGCATTTCAGGATTTTATGGACAGCTGCAGACGTTCTGTCCCCCATACTACTCTGACTCCCAGAGAACCGTGCCACCTGGTAGCTCCTGCAGCATGGTGCCTTCCTTCGAGGACTGCCTGGTCCCCACATCCATGGGCCAGGCTGGTTTGGACGTGTTCCACCGAGCCTTCTCGACTCACTCAGGCATTACAGGTACATTGAGTGTGTGTCCCTTAGAAACTTAGGCCAACTAGCAAGAAAGACCAAATGGGTTTCCCATGACCAGCCTGGACTCAGCTTGACTGAATACATCAATACATCAAATTCTATTGAACCACCCATGAGATGTCTCTCATCATCACCTTTCTCTCCAACTCTTCTCTAGCCCACTTCCACTAACCCAGTTCAGGTGCCACCCTGTCTGTCTCTTCTAAACCATGGCAGTAGCAAGTCTCCCAGAGTCAACTCCTCATATTTACCATTCTGGCCACCATAATCTCATGAATCTGGCCTTCCAAAAGTAGAGGATAAAATTCTGTCCCTGGCCTGAATAGAGTGGTGTCTGTTTGGTGGCATTCTTCTCTTATCAGTGAGGGACAAAGCAACCCCTGTTATTCTAGGTTGGCTTTTGGTCAGTGCCCATGGCTGGTTCATGCCTTGGACAGATGGAAGAAACTGTATATGCCACATATCTGCTCAAGTGCTTTAAATAGTTTCCACTTGCCTAGAGAATAAGACCTACTTTCCAGTATGGCATGCAAAGCCCTCATGAGCTAGGTCCGATCAAACTCCCCAGACCTGCCCATGCATATTTTTTTCTATTCACTCTTCACCTGAGCTTTCCCAGCACTCTTGACCCCACCTGCCCCTCCTTCTGTGTCTTAGCTTCCTGTTCCCTCCTTCTGAATGTTCTTTTCTAACTGCTCTATCTGTGAGAATCCCTTCCTCTTTTATGACTCAACTTTAATATCACTCTTATTTGAGGCCACCTCCACCCTTCCCTACAAACGTATTTTGCTAGCCAGCTGCCTACAAGTCAGCCTCCTCCTCCACTAACAGAAGTCCCTGGGGACAGCAACCCACCAAAGAGCCTAGGCCAGCGTAATTGCCTTCTTAGGCCCCAGTCAGCCTTTGCTGAACTGTATCATTGTCCTGCACACCTGGCAGGTGTGACATGGCAGGAGTGACTCACTTCCTGTGTTCTTTCTCTTTTAGTGTACGATTTGCCTTCGGGTTCCTCAGGCCTCTTTGGGGAATCTCATCACAGTGGGCCTGAAGACGCCACCTTCTTGCAGATCAGCGCTGTGGACCGCTGTCCTAGCCAGCTCTCCTCTGTTTATACTGAAGGCTAAAAACTTCCTGGCTTCTACCGTACATCCAGAACCTTCGTGTCGCTTACCACCTTTTGTGTAGTCCTCACAGACTGCTTGAAAAAGGATGTCAACCGAATCAGTGGCACCTGAAGTCACTGAAGGTGGGACTTGATGGTCAGAAGTGGCTTTGCAGGAATGTTTGCGGTTGCTCCTTTTTCTCTCTGGGTTTGCTGAAGCAGGGGACCAGCAGAACTGTCTTTTCAAAGGGAATTCAGAGTCTCACTAACAGATACCTGTTACTTTCTAGCTGTCACCCTTTACAAGACACCAATGAAATGATGTGTAGATGAAACTGTAGTTCAGGGATGACCCTTGCTGAAAATTCCAAATAGGGAAGGACAACCCAGTTACCAGAGGCACAGTGAGCTGCCTCCCCCAGTGCTCACCCCCGCTTGGCAGTGCAAAGCCACACACCAGGGAAATCTGGGTCCAAAGCTTAGTGTAGTCTCTACTCTCAGAAACTCCCTGGGTTTCTCTTTCCTTTTAGACATTCCCATTCTAGCCAGCAGCTTCTCGGTGTTTCTCCAAGAGCAGAATAAGGTTTTATATTCCAATAACCTATCTTTTTTTTTTCATTTTAAACACTTGTTATTTGCATCTACTTTAAAAGGAAAAAGTACGTACATTTATAGGCCTGTTCTCTGATGGAAATCATTATTATTTTAATACCCTCAGTCACATACTTTTTTGCCATAGCTATTGCTCTGCCTGGCTCCATTCCGGGAATATTAGCTTTGTAGTTAGCAAAGGTACTGTCACCTGAGGGATATGGGGCAGGGGCACAACGCTGCTCCCAGTGCTGTAGCAGTAACCCTCGGGGGTTCACTGTTTAGGGACTCCACTATGAAGACTTTGTTCAAAGGAAAAACTCACATGACTGATTCACTCGTTGCCTTCACTCTGGTGCTGGCCAGAGACGTGCCAGAAGAGGCAGGATGAGGACGCGCTGCACCTTGGTGCTCTCGGAAAACCTAACGAGAGAGACTGACGCCTACTTACTTCACTCAGCTCTGCTCCCCTCCCTCGGGACTCGCACACCTGTCTGTCTCTCTGTCTCTCCAGTATGCTTCTCCTATCTCTCGTCTCACCCTCTTCTTCACCATGGTTCAGACATGCCCACCACCTGCCACTGACTGACCATCAGCTCTTGGGAAAGTCCAGGGGTCCGTTCATGAAAAACGGGCAAAGGCAACTCCTTCTGGAAAACTCTGATTTGAAGACACTTGACCATTTTGTGTCAAGCCTAAACAGGAAGTCATTTCCCATGATACTTTTAGAAAGCTACTAAAAAGATCCCAAGTCCTAGGGCATAATTGTCCAAATTCCAAAGACCTAGTAAATTTGGACATTTTAATACTATCATATTTCAAATTTTCTTTTCTCTCTTTTAAAAATATTTTTTCTGAACAAAAGTGAAACAATGCATCTGTCAAACTGAGATCATTACGATCTTCAAGAAGACCATTCAATAGCTTGGTGTTACTCTTAGGATGCTGTGACAGTTTTTATCTGAACAGATGGATCTTCCTGGCTGGCTCCACAATCATTGGTGTTCTACCTGATTTTGGAGTTCATCTCAACATACTGTAGGAGGTGAATAAAGAACCAAGTGTGGGTTTCATTTTTATGCTGCATTGAATCAGTCTAGTTTCTCTGTGTCCTAAGAAAAGCTATCATGCAGACATTTAGGTCTGCGAAAGAGATGGGTTGTCCACTTTTAATAATCTGTCTGTTCATGAAAGGATGCACATTGGTTTCCTTTATAGGTGCGTGCTCAGGTTGCTTGTAAAACCTCATCTTTCATTCAGACTTTGTGGGTCATGTCACATGGCCGAAACAAGGACATGTGCATGCCAACACTGGCTTAGTCCACAGCATCCCCTGCATGTCCTCTGTCACACTCTAGAGAGAAAGGAAAACTCTGGTATCTTTAGAAGAGACCATCCTTCCATTCTGAAATACTGAAGTATTTTCAAGTAACTCAATATATATTTTATTTGCAATGGGAGGAAAAAGGTGAAAAGGTGAGGTTGTTATTGAGGTTAACGTTGTTAGCCCCCGTTGTGGCTTAACATAAATAGAAAGAAGGAAGGACAGAGCAAGAATCTGAACCTCAGAAATCATGGATGTCATCTCCTCTTTGGCTCGGAGGAGATACTTAGGGGCTCTGGTTTTACTGTGGCCTCTCACAGTGACTGCCCTTTTCTTTCCTCACCTGAGCTGAAGGAATCCCAGAAGGGGACAGGCAGGAACAGCACCTGCAGTGCCTCATTTCTCAGCAGGCATACAAGGGCCAGCCCCTGAGAGACATTGGAGCTGTTAGAGGCAACTTGCAGGAAGCAAGACCAAGCGCAGAGTCTTCGCATGCTTCTCAGCGTATCCTGACGTCTGCAGGTTTGAGATTAGGGACTCAGGACATGACATATCCAGGTTCTTTCCTGACTACACACACTTGTCTTAGATTCCAGACTCTCTCTCCTGACCTTAAAACCTGTTTCTTGCTTACTTTTGCATAGCAATAGATTCCTATATGCTTTCATCGTTATTTTTGTAGCACTAAAAGTGAAAACATCAAAAAATCATTCCCTTTTTTTCCTTACCTTTTTAGTCTTGATAGGTAAACATTTTCATAAGCATCTGAACAGAGATTGTCAGTTCTCTCTTTTAAAAAACTGGTGCTTATGAAAATACATGCAACCCAAAGCCAATTATCCTATTACATTAAAAAAGAGAGAGAGAGAGAGAGAAGAAAAAATTAGTATGCCTAGGGATATTTCATTTGCTACATTGTCTTAATTCCCTAGAGGGACTGCATCAAAATGTCAGCTGTAATCTAGCCTCTGATCAGCTGTTAAATATTATTTAAATATTTACTGGTCCTATGAGTTATCTCCCTTAACCCATGCCTCCCCCAAATTGCGTAGATGGTTCTAAAATATTTTAAAAATGTCTTTAATATATCACAGCCTATCTCCACTGATAACAGTGTTGGTTTTGTCCAAGTGTTTTTAAATTGCCAGCTGTCAAGCACACTATTGCATTCATACCAGATTTGAACAGGAATAAACGTTCAACTCCCCTTCCTGAGAAGCTGGACTTTCCAGTTGCCTTGAAGTATTGGGAATAGTGACTGTAAATGTTCAATTTAATTATTAGATACTTTATTTGACTGTGTTGACCATGCCAATTTATAGCAACATTTTTTAATGGCACTTTTGTTGGTGGTGTGGAATTTCTGCAGTTACTTTTTTTTTTTTTGCAATGGATAAAGCTAAAAAAAAAAAAAAACAGCACTCATTGGAGAAATGGTGAGTGTAAAAAAAAAAAGAGATTTATTTTGTACAGACAGCAAAGCATCCTGTGTAATGTTGCTGACATAAAGCACTTTGGGGGGAAAAAAGTGGAAATCTGTTTTCCATAAATCACGCAGACCCTTGTACATAGTTATATACACTCACGTAGAGAAATGAACTGCATATATCATACTGGATATGGGGCCGAATTTACTCTAGAGGCACATCTGGTGCTTATTGTCATAAATCTTTTAAAGAATTAGGTACACTTTTTTTCTATTAATATGTATAGTTTTGTGATTTGTCACAGTTATGTTTCATATAATCATAAGTTATTTTGTCTTGTTTCATGAAGTCCTTTTTTTATGTCAAAAGTAAAATGAAGGGATTGTGCACTTGGTACAGAATAAAACTGGAACTAGAGGCTAGCCCTCTTGCCTGGAGTCCTTCAGCATGTCGCTTTAAAACACAATGGCAACAACTGCTGTTTGTTTGTTTGTTTTATTATTTTTTTGTTTTAGTTTACCATCAGCCGTCTACATATTGGGGATGGTAATTATAATTAAAAGCAGATGGGGGGATGGGGGGAGGGTCCAAGGCCAGCTTTCAAATGCCGCATTGCTTTGGGCCAGAACTGCAGCCTGGATTTAATTATAGATATGAGGACGAAATGGCAGTAAAAATGAATGTCTCCCTGAATCCTTTACATGTTGGGAGTGTCCATAAATAAAACATGAAGTTTTATTTCATCAGATTTAATTAAAGCTTTTATACATGTTTTATTGGTTATTCTATTAATCCGCTTCAGAAACGGGATAAATGTGTGCTAGGGATTGGGGTTTTATTTCTGCCTTTTCAATGTAGTGCTACATCATGCTTCAGAAATGCCTTTAGTGCTGAGTACTCCAGGTGCCGGCGTTCAGCAGCTGGAAGAGGAGGCCTTTTCAACCCCATTTCCCTGGAATCCTGCAGAGCGAGACACAGCACAAGCTTCCTGTGAGCTGGCTCCCTGACCTTAGAGTCCTCTGATTCCCTGGAAGAGGAAGAGGCAGTTATCATCTCCCTGGTTCCTGTCTTGTCTGCTCTGCAGGATTTAGAAGGGCCACTCGAGTCACCGGCTGTGATGATCTTTCTTTCCCAGCTCCCATTAGTCCAGAGAGAGTGATCAGGGTATTAGTCTCATACCTGGCTGGCCTAATGGCCAGGCACATGCATCTAAAAGATAACACATCTTAAGGAGCAGTCTTAGAAAACTGACCTTGTCCTCACTACATTTGTATGACTTCATTTGTTTTCATCTTACTCATTTATTTCTTTCATGAGCCAGAGAGACAGAAAGGCAGCACCCCAACATGGTCTCCATGCCACGATCAACCTCCAGCTGTATCCAGCCCTGGATTATGACCACACATGTGCCTGGTATACTCAGAGAGGTCTCTTAATGCAAACCCAGAACCTTCCCTCATGGGCCAGCCTTGCAGAGCATCAAGTTTTACCACTGTGCCACCATCAGGCCCAACTTGAGAATTATTTTAAGGAAGGGTACAACACAAAAGAATAATGACCCCATGTACCTTGTCTAGCTCTTTTGGATCAGAGAGCAAATGCTGGTTGACTCAGAGTTGTGGAGGTGGAAATAGTGCTGCCTGACAAGACACAGAGCTCCTCAGCTTCTTGAAAGGAGACCATTAGTGGGAATGTGACTGGTCCAACCTCTTTGGAAAATAGTTTGGTGTTCAGTGGTAGAATACATGTGCTCTACAACCCAAGAGTTCCCCTCTTCTTCACAGACTGTCATGTTAGTGATAGTTCAGATACAAGATGCTCATAACAATATTATTCACACTAGCCCAAAACTGGAAATGACCCCACTGTCCATCGTCAGTAAGATAAATAAATGAACAGTGCCAAAGTAGCAGCGTGAAATGCCTTGCAGCAAAGGAAATGACAAAGCCATAGCCACACGCAGTAACTCAGGGCTGCATCCACAAACTACATGGAGAAAATGAAATGGACACTAAGTCATGTATACCATGCTGTTCTAGTTACAAATGGCTCAAAAGAAGCAAACTACAATTACAGACTTTAAGTGGTAGAAATGTAAAGAACAGCAAGGAAAATATGATCGCAAAGGCCCAGATATTGATTAGGAGAAAGGGCATATGTGGGACTTCTTGGGTGCTGATAGAACATGTTTTATTTCTTGACCTTGGCATTAGGTTATACAGCATTGTCATTATTTAACTGTGCATATGTATTTTTATAATTTTTAGATTAAATAACAGAGCTAAATCTTATAGCTCCTGCCCCTGAGGTCTGCAAACTTCTTCTCCAAAGGACCAATGGTACCTGTTTTAGGAATTGAGAGCTAAATGGTCTTTGTACAACTGGTCAACTCTGCCACTATAACTCAAAGCAGCTGCAGACAATATGCAAATGAGGGTGTGGCCATGTTCCAATAAGACTTTGTGGACATGGATTTGAATTTCATTTCATTTTCAGATGTCATAAAATATTCTTTCAATTTTTTCAACTATTGAAGGTAAGAGAAATATATATTCTTAATTTACAGGCTTCACAAAAATAAAACAGGGCAGTAGGTACAATTTAGCCCATGGGCCATGGTTTACTGACCCTCATCAATTGAAAGAGCATGCCCCGGCCCTTCCCATAAATATCCACTCAAAGAAAACCACAGATAGGAGCCCCTCTGCTTATTCTTTAGCTACACTGGATTCTGTTCCTAGAGGAAATTCATGAGTTCTATTGATTAAGTTTTTCTTTGTTTAGATCCTGGGTTCTGCTCCCCAGGATACAGATGAACGCTTAGAGCCTGGAGTGCCATTCGACTTTATCTCTGGATTTAAAGTTTTTAATAAAAGGAACCAGGCATAGAGAAATCCGTGAGAATTGGGAAATGAGCATCCATTCTTTCCAAGCTAACCAAATATTTGCTGGATCTTGGCAGCCATAGCCAAGTTTTTTTCTTTTGAAATTCTGAGAGGTTATAAGTAAGTAATGAGAGACTTCATTTTTCTCGGCCACTGCTCCTGTGAGAAGCTGGAGCTGCCTTTCAAAACTTGCACCATTCTCAGGGAAAGGAGAGTCAGGGTTTTCGGTTCAAAGATGCCAATGAGAAGTGGCTGCAGCAGTCAGGGGCACCAACAGTGCTAACGTCTGCCTGCTCCACGTGGCAGGAGAGCCCTGAACACCCCTACCGTCTCCATGGACCCTGGTTTCCCATAACGCCTAGCTCCTTAATTCCCAAACTCAGGGGCTCTCAACCCTGACAGTGCTGCCCATTGGCTACTCACCTGCAGGAGAGAATGAGACTGAATTTCACATGGGCACAGCATATGCCTCTCTTCATGTCTCCTGCCTGTGATAAAAGTGATGGTTTTCAAAATGGGATTATTCACGAGATCTGAGTCATTTCTAAATATCAGCGTGAACTAACTCCTCTTCAGCAGGTCTTCCTGGTGGTTTCACGTGCTTGAGTTTGTGTATTGTGTAGAACTCTAATATTAAAGCTGTCAATAGCATGAATTTTGGATAAAATAACCCATTTTTTTAACTTTCTTTCTTTCTTTAAATTTGATCAGAGAGGGCAGAATGGGAGAGAGAGAGGGGAAGTGAGAAAGCAAGCCACCAGGTCCGGGATTCAAACCGCAGTCAACCATGTGGGAGTCCAGTGCCCTTAGCCACCATGCCACCTGTTGGCCCCCTAGTAACCCACATTTTATAGAGAAATTTAGCCAAAAGAAAGCTTAAGAACATCTTGTCTAACCACATTAATTTTCATAGGAGTTACTGAAGTTATTCACTCATTCATTCATTCACTCATTAATTCATTTATTGGCTCACTCACTCAACATTTATTGTGTGCCTACTATAAGAAAAGTAAAGCTAGAAGTGATCCTTATCTTCACAGAGCTAGAGGGAATCCCAAGAATCACCTGCCTGGAGAAGATTGCCTCGGGCTTGCTAAAAATGCATATTCTAGAGCTTTTGAATGCACGCCCCAGAGCTACTGAGCTGGAATTTTTAGTGAGATGGAGGTACCTTGCATTATTAATAATCTCTCCAGGTATTTATTTATACAAAGTAAAGTTGAGACCTTGGTGACGGATGTAAATCATTTAACAGGGCAGCATGTATAAGAGCTCATCAGAAGAGAGACTCCCCCTCCCCCCCAAAAAAAAGAAGAAGAAGAAGAGACACTCCCAATTCCTGTCTGGGCAGGGAAGAGGACAGAGTAAGAGTTTCCTGGTGGAATGGGTGGGAAGGTGCCTGTGTTAGTCCTGTACAAATACAGTGTTTATAGCAGCATTATTCACAACATCCAACAAATGGATGCAATCCAAATCAACAGATAAATGAATAAACTAATATGATATATATGTACGACAAATAGAATATTATACAGCCTCACAAAAGGGAATTCTGATATATTCTATACAAAATGGATGGCCCTCAAAGACATCACACCAGGTGAAACGTTAGACACAAAAGGACGAACACTGTATGATTGCTTTTTACGAGGTGCCCAGCATAGTCAAATACATAGAGACAGAAATACAATACAGGGAAAATATGTTTAATGTATACAGAATTCCCATTGGAGAAGATGAAGAGTTCCGGAGGCCAGCCACAGTGGCACAGGTGGTAAGGTGCTGCTGTATGATTCTGGAGCTGTATGGGAGACCTGTACTCAGATCCCAAGTTGACCTGAACACTCCAGGTTCGCCCATGCACACCCATGATCATGGCTGGTGGGAGGCTGGGTGGAGGATTATGGGGTAGTAGGAAACTGTCAAGGGGCTCGCTCTCTCTCAATAAATAAATAAATGAATAAATAAACTTTTTGAAAGTTCTGGGGATCAAGAGTGGTGATGTTTACAAAAACAATTGTGAATATACTTAAAACCACTGAATCATACACTTAAAAATGGTTTTAAAAATGGTAAATTTTATGGTATGTATATTTTTGTCACAATTTTTAAAAAAAAATAAATAAACATCATGCAGGCAGAGAGTACTTAATAAAATACTTGAGATCTACTAAATTTGAAAAATTGAGAAAGCACCTTGTTAGGCCAGTGTGTCTTACAATGTGCTTTGGGAGCATCTCCCCCTCCAGGAGGGCTGGGTGCAGAGCTCAGAGTGGAGCAGTGTTAGCTCCTGACAGGTGGAGATGGTAATGACAAATGGGCCTGCCCTGCTGGGAAAAAGGAGGAGGAAGAGACGCAGAGGAGATAGAAGGCGGCTCGGAGGACTGAAGAAGCTGCTTCTCAGCACGGAGCCCTATACACGGTATGACTTCTCAAAACTTGAGGAAGGCGGGGAAGGGAGGAAGGAAGGGGATGGATGTTGGCGCCACGGCAGGAGTGAACAGTGAACTTCAAAGAAAGAAAAAGCACGGGTTTAGACCCAGCTGATCCCAGCGTGAGCACAGGTCGCGATTTATTTGTACTCCCTTCATTTGTTACGCACTTGTTTTCAGAGCTCCATACCCAGCACGATGTGCTAGTACTCTAGGAGTTGGTGATGGTGCAGAACAGAAAGCACACCAACATCCCCGTCGTGGCATTATATTCTAGTGGATTTGCATTCCAAATGGGTGATTTTGCTTGTCTGTGAAGTGTGAGGTTCTGCAGAGGGTCGAGTTCTCCAGGACGCAGCTGCAAGACAGAGCTGGGAAGGCTGACGGTTTACTGGAGAGTTACACCTGTGGAGGGAACAAGGCAGAAGCTGGGTTA